TTTTTCTTGTTAATTCGTTAAAAATTCACATTAAAATCAAGTATGTATGTATGTATATATGTATGTATGTATGTATGTATGTATGTATGTATGTATGTATGTATGTATGTATGTATGTATGTATGTATGTATGTATGTATGTATGTATGTATGTATGTATGTATGTATGTATGTATGTATGTATGTATGTATGTATGTATGTATGTATGTATGTATGTATGTATGTATGTATGTATGTATGTATGTATGTATGTATGTATGTATGTATGTATGTATGTATGTATGTATGTATGTATGTATGTATGTATGTATGTATGTATGTAAATAATGTATTATATAAGATATATATATTTTAAATATACAAAAACTGTGTTCTTTTTGTGTGTGTGTGTGTGTGTGTGAGTAGTAAAAAAATAATAAACGTTGTTTTTCTAGGGAGAATGAAATATTGATAGAATGCTTTTAAAGGAATCAATGTGTTGCCAGTTCTCATCTATGTAGCTATCTTCTTTCATTTCATCTAGTTATTGTTCTTTTTGTTATTGTTGTTCTTTCTGTTGCTATTATGTTATTGTTGTTGTTTTTGTTGTTATTATTATTGTTATTATTATTATTGTTGTTGTTGAGAATGATGTCGTTGTTGTTATTGTTGTTGAAGTTTTATTTTTATTGCTCATGTTTTTAAATAACTTGACGTGTATTGTTTCACTCTTACGAATCAAGGACCACATAAGTAGATCATTATCATCTTCTTCATCATCGTCGTCATCATCTTCGTCATCTTCGCTTTCCTCGTTATCTATTTATAATTTCAATAATTATGTTGGCGTAAAATGTTTTAAATAGAAGAATATAATCTTTAGATTCCCGCCAAACTTACTGCAATATATTTCTTAAATGTTCTACGTCTGCAGATGGTAATCTTTAAGCACGTGTAAAGATAACGGGAGTAGCAGATCGAGGGGATATGCGGGAATGCCTCCCCCACTAGGCCATGAAGGAGGAAAATATTGAAGAATATCATCAACTTGAAAATTTTAAAATTCACCTCGCCCCAAAAAATGGAAATAGACGAGAACTACCAAAAATAACTTGAAAAAAGTCATCGACTTGAAAGTTTCAAAATCATCCTCTTAATCGCAAAATAAATACTGGATAAGTCATGGATATATACAATAAGGATGGGATAAGCACAATACAGCATATAGAATTTGCACTGTTAATAAAACTAAGCGATAATTAATTGTCTTGGCAAAAATTTAGCCTTGCTGGAATTTTAAAAAATTTTCAAATGAATGTAAGAATGAAATTTAAATGGAGTGAATGCACTTACAGACAATCTATTTAAGTCATCCGAGAAGTCATCCATCATAAACGTATTCATATTTTTAAAAAAACCCTCACCGCATTCAAAGCAAACAACAATCTTTTGTTCTATTTTTTAACATCATTTTTTTATACTTTTCATTCAACTTTTTCTGTAACAAACCGGAACTACGAAGATTAAAGTGTCTTTGGTAACTTCCGTTTCAAGCAACTTCCGGGAAAACATACCTCTCCACTCATCCGCTCGATTGTTCGATCAAATCGTTTGCCGACGAAAAAATCTCAAAGAAGGTGATGATGATGATGATGATAATGATGATGATGATGATGATGATGATGATGATGATGATGATGATGATGATGATGATGATGGGTTAAATTAAAAGATAAGATGATCGTTGCAAAGGTAACAACGAAGCTGATGATGAAGCCGATGATGATGATGATGAAACCGATGATGATGATGATGATGACATCAGGACATCAATACCTTTTATGATAAGTTGGTTAAAAAAATATGATAAATTAACTTGCTTTTCAATAGTTCAATTGTTTCCTTTCTTTGCATAGGTGAATTTGCATTCTAAAGTATTTTTTAATTAATTAGCTAATTCTAATTCATATATTCATTCATTCATGCTTTCATATATGCATTCATTCATGCATTCATCCATTCATTTACTCGTTCATTCATCCTTTAATAAATTGAACTTAATTTAGATATCAAACAAGTTATAGATGGAAAGTATTTGATCTCTGTAGATGTTGACGAGAAGCCTTCCGCGGCTGCTGTTACTGCTGCTACTACTACTGCGGCTGCTGATGATGATAGTGATGATAATAATGATAATGATGATTTTGCAACGGCTGATGACGACGAATACATTATTAATGATGATAAAAATGCTAATGATGATGATGATGATAATGATGATGATGATGATGATGTTGATGCTACTTCCGCCTCCTACGACAGTGATAACGACGACTATAATTATCATAATACTCATAATGATAATAATAATAACAATAATAATAATAATAATCTTGCTTTGTCAAGGAATAAATCAAAACATGGCAAAAACACATTTACGAAACATTTGATTCTCAATTCAACAAAAAAGTGCGAACCAATTTTGAGTGGATGGACAGGAAGCAAACTTGAAATGATTTGTTCGCCAGGTGGTCAGATTCATTTCCACGTGTGCACTGGAGTAGGAAGGTGCGCGTTGGTCTGCGTGGAAATAAATTTCAATGGAGATCTGGCGAATGGAAAAATAAATTCAAGACACCGTGCTAGTTCAAATCGAGTGATGCGTTATTTGAATCTTCTACAAGTCGTGAGCAACAATTCTTACAAAAACAACAACAACCTCATCAAAAACAACAACAATTCTTACAAAAGCAACTACAACTTCATCAAAAACAACTACAACCCCAGAAACAACAACAACAAATTCAACGACATCGTTCAAGAAACCAACTACCATTCAACGGATGTCGTCACGCTTCGACAATAG